GTGGCATTTAGTGCATTCACCATGGTGTATAATAATCACCTCTATCTAGTTTCAAAACATTTTTTGTCCTCCCAAAAGGACACCCCATGCCCAGTCACTTCCAGTGATATGAACAGTCACTCCCCATATCTCCTTCTCTCCAGCCCTGGCAACCAATAATCTGCTGTTTCTATAGACTTACCTGTTCTGTATATTTCCTATAAATAGAATCGTATAATATGTGACCTTTTGTATCTGGGTTTTGTCACTTAGCATAATGTTTTTGAGGTTCATCCATGTTGTACCATGTATGAGTACTTTATTCCCTTTTCTGACTGAATAATCTTCCATTGTATGAGTATGGCACACTTTTCCATTCATTAGTTAATGTGCATTTGGATTGCTTCCACCTGTGCCTATTGTGAATAGTACTGCTATTAACATTTATGTACAAGTTTTTGTTTGAATTTCAGTTCTTTTGGGTATATTCTTAGAAGTGGAATTGGTAGGTCTTATGGTAATTTTTTGTTTAACTTTTTGAGGAACTGCCAAACTCATTTCCACAGTGGCTGCACAAATTTGTATTCTCAATTAAAGACGTACAAGAGTCCATTTCTCTGTATTACCAATACTTATTATTTTCCATTAAAAAATTATAGTAATACTAGTGAGTGTGAAGGGGTATTTCATTGTGGCTTCGATTTGAATTTTCCTAATGACTAGTAATACTAAGTATCTTCCCATGTGCTTGTCAGTCATTTGTTTATCTTCTTTGGATAATTGTCTATTCAAATCCTTTGTCCCTTTTAAAAATTGGGTTGTTTACCTTTCTGCTACTGAGTTCTAAGAGTTCTTTATTTTGGATACCAGACTTTATCTGGTATAGGATTTGCAAATATTTTCTCCCATTCTGTAAGTTGTCTTTTCACTCTTTTGCAAAAAGAAAACTAAAAATAGTTTGTTTTGTGTGATGTCTTTATTGGTCTTTAGGACCAAGACAAGCTAGCCTCACAGAATGAATTAGGAAGTGTTCCCTCCTGTTTTTTTGGAAGAGTTTGAGAAAGACTGGTATTAATTCTTTAAATAGTTGGTAGGATTACCAGTGAAACCATCTGGTCCTGGGCTTTTCTTCGTTGGGAGGATTTTGATTACTGATCTACTCGCTTTACCTGGTATAGGTCTGTTCAGATTTTCTATTTCTTCTTGAGTCAGTTTTGGTAGTTGATGTGTTTCTGGAAATTTTTCCATTTCATCTGGGTTGCTCGTTTGTTGGCATACAATTGTTCATAGTTTCTTATAATTATTTCTATAAGATCTATACTAATTTACCTGCTTTCATTTCTGATTTTAGTGATTTAAATCTTCTCTCTTTTTTTCTTTATTAGTCTACTTAACAGTTTCTAAATTTTGTGGATTTTCCCTCCAAAGAATTGCATTTTTATTTCATTAATTTTTCTCTATCCTTTTCTATTCTTTTATTTTGTTTTTCTTTTGCCTTTTTTTTTTTTTTTTTAAAGTCATTCTTAACTCATGGTGCAAAAACAGATGGTGTGTTGGATTTTGCCCATAAGCTGGACCCTCCGCCTCCCGGGCTCAAGCGATCCTCTCACCTCAGCCTCCTGAGTAGCTGGGACTACAGGCACAGATCACCACACCTGG